TCATAATATATTTTTTTGCTATGCAAATTAAAGTTATAAATAAACTAAACAAAAATCTAGCATCGCTATATCTTTGCTTCTGTCAAATGGGTTTATTTTTAATAAATTTAAAAAAGGTGTGTAACCACATGATAAAAATAGGAAAACATTTAGTTAAAAAAGTTTTAAGTATAATTTTGTGTATTATTATGGCTTAAATCAGTGGTCACGCATAGTTGTAAAACATAGAAAAGCTTACAAAATATTTTGAATTTTTATTTATTTTATTTATTATTTATTTTTAATTACTTACTTACGCCTTGACCCATTTGCTTAGTTAATTACTTAATGCTATGCAAGTTTAAGTAATTTTCTCGGAATTGCAAACGCAAAGCTCTATTGAGTTTTAAATGATAGAATATTCAATGTTCGTGAATCTCTATATGCTATTTCTTTGTTATGTTAATCAAACTTAATTAGTTTACCGTGCATAGACATAATTGGAATCCCAGTTAATCAATGGACTTATACCCATTCGAGCTTGAGTAACTTTTCGCCGGCAGTCAGTGGAGAAATTGCTTGCCATCTATCTCTTGAACTTTACCCCGGCACACAGAGCTACTCCCCGAAATTCATTGAGGTATAATAACAAAGTCAATGAACACCTTGATGACAGTTAACAGAAACCGTAGATTGGCCAAAAGGAAAGTAGCAGAGCACACAAACAGACACACACACACACACACACTCTCACATCTCGACACAAAATGGCAGAAAAGAAAAGGCAAAAAGATGGCGCAAATTACAGACAAGCTTATTACGCAAAATTTCGCTTAATTAGCAGGCAAAAAGGGAACCGAATAGAGCCAGAGCTAAAGGGAAATGGAAAAGCGGAAAAGCGGGAAAGTAGGCAACAGTTGCCCACGGACAGAAAGGAAAGTGAAATGAGACAAAAGGCCGTAGGAAAGAAAAACTACTCGTACACCCTACACATGGAGGCAGACTTATGGCACCTTTAGCCAGGCAAAAGCATAATATATATGAACTGACCTTAACAACTTGCACAGAAATAGCAACAGCAACAGCAGCAGCAGCAGCAACAGCAACAACAACAACCGTCAAGAGGAAGAAGCAACATGTTAGCCGGGTCAAAAAGGGGGGGTGGATTCAAGGGGACGGGGTAAAATTTACTCGGGCAACAGAATATTAAATGCCGCGTGGGAATTCTCGCCGTTTATGGTTGCAGCTGAAATGGGCCAGCTAGGGCGGAAAGGGACGGGACTAGAGGGGTAGAGTGGCAGAGAGGCAGAGAGAGATGGCCAGATAGCGAGGAGCGCGGCCAGTTACGCTTCAGTAATTTCACTTAAGTCATTATGAGCCATTAATAAAGCCAGGCCCTGCACTAGTTGAGCCACCACATAATTCGGGCTATACGGCTATATCTATATGCTGTTCGGCCTGCTCATTTCACACATCAAAAATCAAGCGAGTGGTTTCCCACCCCACGGAATCATAATGATAATCATAATCCCACCTACATTGACGATGATTTCATGGTTTTAATGTGTTAAATACCTTATACCAAATTCAGAAGATAAAACGCTTATCATAAATAAGTAGCACAGTTGGTAGCACCATTGTTTCAAGAGGTTTCCAATATTTATCATCAGTTTACTTGAACTTATTTTATTAATATTTCATAGTTTAAAGGTACTTATTCTTCTATTGTAAAATACGAGTTTTAATAAACAAAAAAGGCTTAGCTAGCTATATTTTTTTTTAACATATACACACCATCACTGATCGCGAGCAACATGAGCCAGTGGCAAGTCCTTGTTATACGAGTATATCTCTGTCATTTCACTCACCATACTATTTTTATTATTCAGATGCACAGACAAACAAACATATTTGTTGATTCTTTTCCAACTTGTTTGCTGTTTTTTCCCCGGTGTCATGGGAGGGGAGAATACTCGACCACTGGCTTTGGCTTCAATTTTCCAGAAGCGATTTTTGTTTTTCCATTGAAGTGCATTTTTATTGCAATTCATCAGCTGCGAAAGCAAAATTCGAGTGCATTGCGATTTGTGTTGTTCGAGATGTACGAGGTATTTAATTAATTTGAAAAATAAAATCCACCAAACGAAAATATCATATGGTAGAGATTTTCGACCATAAGAGTGCATGCCAATTTTTATTCATTTCCCATTGAAATGCGAATTTTCAAAGAGTCGAAAAGTGTTTGATTTTAAATATTTAACTTGATGTTGATGACCTGTTAACGTTTCGCCCAAGTGGCAGTCAAGTTAATCTGAATATAATTAAGTTTTCGAGCCACGAACTGATTAAAGCATTTATTTATCCCTATTCGGTCGTTTTTTTCTTGCTTGGCCTAAATCTTAACGTGATTATGAGTAGTTAAAATATGATTTTCTGTTGCCCCATAACTTTTGATATAGCCACTTTAAGTAATCCCGAATCTTGGTCAATTCATTTCCTATTACTCAAATATTTGTGTCAGGCATAAAGTTTTTCTAATTCATCCCATTGCTGGCACTTTCACTTAAGTCGGAAACTTCTAGGATATACATATATTTTTTGTGGCCTCTGTTCAATGAAGTTTGCTTCTCACACCCGCAGCCCTAGAAATACTTTTACTTTTACTTTCATAACCAAAAGCCTAACACTCGAGACAACAACAAACACTTCGAAAAAGTTTGAAGCCCACTCTTAAATATTATCTGTGAAGTGGAACTCTTAAAGTCCAACTTATACAGCTCTTCTAAGGCTAGCTCTTATATGCGAGCTTATACAACTCTTAGATATATATGAGTTAATGCTCTACCTCTTCTAAAATTCATTCAGCTGCGAAAGTAATGCTTATACTGCTCTGATGGGTGGACTTATACAGCTCTTATAGGCCAGCTTATACAGCTATTATAAATTTAAGATTTAAAGTTTTTTGGTGGCGCCACTCTTCGAACTGCCATTCAGCTATCAAAACAGTCCACCATATAAGAGTCAGTCTGCACAATTAGTAGAGTCACAAACCTCTCTGGCGCCGAAGCAATGGATGCTGCGAGAGAATTATCCGATTACTTTACGAAAGTTTGGGAAAAACGAAGTCGAGTTGTTCTAAAAAATACGAGTGCGCGCTGCAAAAGTCAAAATGGTTTTAGATACCAGGCATATACATAGCTAAATTGTTGAAAAGAAAGAAAACAGTCTTTAAAGTTGAACAAAATTATGAATTTATCCGCCTTGATACGTATTATTTAATGAAATAATTTTTTTCTAATAATATAAGACTTATTTTTCTTATAAAGCACATATTTTGTCTTATATGTCTCCCTTAGCGGTGACTTCAACCCATGAACTATGTTTTTGCTTTAAGTATTTATGTATAAGCTGGAACTCAACATGCTATTCGAACCGCCAATGTTCGAGTTCGCTTCAATCTTTTGTGAGCCGCGCTTGGACCTGTCGGCTAAAAGATACAGATACTTTGCGTTTAGTCTTGGTCGGTCTGCGCGTGGTCTATGTTGACAAACATTAGTGTGGCTCCCAGTAGCATATTTACCCGAACGAAGTGATTGCGCCGAAAAAAATACAAATACTCGAAATAAATAAATACTTGAATAATATTTATTTAAGCCTAGACAGTTGGTTTATACTGTTAGTGAAAAATAAGTGTGACGAATATGTTCTGCAAAATGCCTTGCAAAGTGCGGCCAAGCCTTGAACTGGCTGAGGCTTGTTATTAACCCGAAAGATACAAAACATAAGCCCAAACTGTAAACAAGTTAAAGTGAGTGAGTGAGTGTGTCGCAATCTAACAACAAATTCCAACAATCAAGCAACCTACAAGATGCAGTTTTGGATAACTCTGACATTTGCCGTGCTCTTGGGTGAGTTATCCCACCACTAGTAAAAATTGAAAACATATGAACCGCCGAATGTAGCTCATAGATGACCGCTTGCTGCATAAATGTCTGCGGCAAAAGTTCATGACATTTTCGCCCGGGCCATCGCAAAAGCACAAAAAGCAGATGAGTCCCCGACTCTCGGTGGCAGTCGTATCTTTCCATATGAATTGTGGCTTAGAGGATTCCGGGGGACTGGCTTTTCTGAGGGGGCCTTTATGTCTAGATACTCCTTTGTCTGCTTGCTTTTCGTTTTTCCAGCGATTTTTAGTCGGTTTGCCGTTGACATTTAAACACTTGTTTTTTCGTTTACCCAGTCGACGGCGTCTGCGGCAGTTGCTGCTGCGGTTTTTGCCTCACAACAAATAGATATAGAGAATAATTTTCTAGCCACAGCCAAGTGTTGCTTTAACACACGGGTCACCATCACCGCAGTCACCCCTCTCTCCCGGCCCAACTACCCCCGAACCTTTACATGCAAAAAGTTTTTCGTATAAATTTTTTCACTGTTTCAGTTATTTTCCTCAACAATTTCTGCAGCCTCAACTTTTATTTTTTCCGCCTGCTTCGGCTGCTGTTTATTTGATTTATGCGACATAATTCAGGCGAACTTTGTGGCACACATAATTTAATTTTTGCCATCACTTCGAGTAGGGAAGTTGCAGAATGAAAAAAGGTGAGGGGACCGGCACTTTAACTGACAAACATTGTTGCCGTTCGTTCCCGTGCGCTTTTTAATTATTTTTCCCTCCACTCTTGTGATGACAAAGTTGGCGCTTTTGTCTCGCATAGTTTGAGTTTTATTGTCGCTATTTGTTCGTCTGTTAATTGAAAACTATTTGATTATCAAATTTGTATGGCGTTAAAAGTTCCTTTTTTAAACAAGTCGTGTACAAGTCGAGTGCTAATTGTTTAGTGTTAAGAGTTGATGTTGCATTCAAAGACCGATTCTAACATTTATCATCTATCTGTATCGGTATTAACACGATTCTTTTGTTTGGTTTTCCTAATGCTACATGACGAATTTATTAGTGGGCATTGAACATTTTCGATTAGCGTGCTGTGGAATTGGGTTTGAGAAGATCAAGCGGCGCTTCATCAAGTTTATCATTTTATTACATGAACAACACAATTTCAGTGGTATCTATTTACTGATAATATAAATATACTTTGTGCCATTCCATCTCGTTCAAGTTATTTCTTAAGCAATTACGTTATAGGCTAGATCACATTTGTTGTTATCCTTTAGTTTTAGACAGGGTTTTGCATTGTCGATTCCAGTTATTTCGATTCTGCCGTTGGCAATTACTTTTGTCTTTTCAAAGTGACATAAATAGAAACACTTGACTTTCATGTCGCTGGGATGTTTAGTCAGGAGCTCTTCAGTTATTCCCTCCCTTCTAGCACATACTTCATCTAATGAATTCTGATAATGTAATGATGAGGGTTGCTTAAGTTTTTGTAAATAAGGAAATCTATTTTGTTACTTACGGATTCAGCAGAGTAAATGAATAGTGGGCCGGTGGCCAGCAAAACAACCAAAGCAACCGATATTCATTTTGGAGACTGATTCTGGTCAGTGCCTCATCTTTTATATGTTCTCATGCACGCCATGTCGAATAAGTTAGTAAAATTAATACTTTGTTCGTGCTTACATTTTAATTTTGCGACATATTAATATTTAAAATTTCTTTACGCTAATGAACAAAAATTATGAATCTTTACTCCTTAAAAAAGTAAATCCATATTAAATAGAAATGCCTTTGAAAAATGCATTAGTTTAGCTTTAATTCTTTCTATTACTGCATGACGAATTTATTAGTGGGCATTGAAAATGTTTGATTATTGTGTTGTGCAATAGAGTAGGAGACGAGTAAGCATAGCTAAAGCAAATGCCAGAAATCATTGCAAAATTGTTCATGAATGTGCGATATTGTGGCTTAAAAATTATATTTAATGCTGTGTTCAATGAACTCTGCATAAAAATTCCAACTAACAATTTATGCCACTTAAATTACCATAATTCCTAGAAAAAAAATATAAATCGCATTGTTATCCATTGTTATGTGTACAATAAATGACGTGAAATTCCGAGAACTAAGACACTTAACATTTAAATTGTATTAAGAATAAAGAAAACACAAAACAGAAGCACCACAAAAAAGAGCAGAAGCGAATGAGGTCCCTGGCCGGTTAGCAATATCATTACAAGACTCGGTCAGACTTCCCTGTGGCATTAGCACCTGCCCTTTGCTATATATACAATATATATACAAAACACGAGATACAAATGTGTATAGAGAGTCTCCAAGGCTTGCACGCGTCCAAAATTAATACAAGCCAAGCTGCAAAAGGCAAAAAACCGCCAAGAAACCGCTGGCCAGAAGGCAAAAAAAATGTATATAAAAGGGAAGCGAAGTTGGCAAGCTGCTAAAAGACGAAATACACCTGCCCGGGCACACTCCAAAAATTTTCATTCACTCTACATCTCTGCATGTCTTTGTGTAGCATGGCCCAAACCTATGAAATTAGTTTTATACCCGCACACATTTTTCCTCTTATTTTCGCTTCTCTACTTTTTTTTAGCACAAGTAGAAAATTGAGGATGTGGTTAGGTGCCGGAGCAGAGTGGTATTCACAAATCTCTTTTACCCCGCGGAGAGCTCGTTGCGGAGATATATCCGTCCATATGTACTGTCAGCCTTATAATCCGCAGACGATTTACGTAGGCAAATTGAATTAAGGCTGCAAAAACCTCGGCAAACAGAGTGGACTTAAAACCCGATTTGGCCTAATGCCGCAGCTAAAATGTGTTAGCATACAACAAACTTTTCAGCATAAATCCTTCACTTCGGCCGGTAGTATTATACCACAGTGGTACAGTGCATTGAACCAACGGCTTAGACTTAAAACCAGAGCTAATCGGTTGCCCAACTACGACCACTCGGCCAAGTAAGCCACTTGCTCTGATTAAAAGCAGCAAAAAGCACGCAGAAAGGAGTTAAAAAATGAGTGCAAATTATATGACGAACGGGTTATGGGGTTGCGTACAAGAGTTCTGAGCCATAAAGAGCAAATGATGTTGGTACTAGACTAGCCTACATAAGGCAGCTCTTCAAGTTGCTAACTGACCGCATTTGGCTCTGGCCACAGAACAGTACAGACAGCCCATGAGATGTATAATATGTGCTCCATTTGGCCGAAATCCAATTCTATCTATCCTTAAGCCCGAGTGTTCACCTCATTACAAGGGGCTTCCCTGTTCAAATTTTATTCACTTTTTTTGATGGGGCAGAAAATTGAAATCTGTGCATAAAGGTAAAACTCTGACACATAAATATTTTGGTTTATTCATTTTATATATTTTACAAATTAATTTACTTACAAATTAATTTAGTTAGTTTGAAATTTTTCTTATATTGTAATATATTGTTGTTTATAAGCTATTCCAACATAGCTGCTGTTGACTCATTTATTTTAAGCAGAAAATGCTCATTTTCATGATCAATAAAGTTCCATTTATAGAACTGATAACCCAGCTCACATTCGTTGTCATCTTTAATATCAAGGCACGGCCTTGTTCTATGAAAACCGGCTGTTCCCCAGACATTAGTCAATATATTTTTATTCGAAGGATCAGGTTGGATAATCTTGCCCTTTGCAATTATATAAGTCTTTTCAAATTGGCAAAGATAAACGCACTTGACTTTATAATCGTCTGAATCAGTATTAAATAAAAACTTATCAACCTTTTGTCAAATCATTTTTAATACCTAGTTTATGCTTCATTTTAGTTTTAAATGTTATACTCTCCATCTTATCATCCAACGTAAACTACAAAAAGGTGTATTTTTGCCACCTCATGCCTGCAACTTTTTCCCAAGAAAATTACATTCCTTGCCGGGATGCATATATATGTATATATATAAATTTAAATATAAACTTATGTCCATCAGCCTGCATCTGCATTGGAAAGTGCCGCATAATTACAACCCCCGGTCGTACCTTCTCATTTGTGAACAGCTCTTCCATCTCGGACTTTGTCTCGGGATTTCCATTGCCTTTGCCTTTGCCTTTGCCTTTGCCCCCTTGGCTTGATCACAAAGTTGCGACCCCGAACACGAAATGCTGGTCATTTGTTTTTATGTAAATACGAAATGTGCTGCCACCATCTTGCTGTTGTTAAGTTGGCTTATGCACATTGCCTTAACAAAAAAAGAGAGCCCAAGCTCCTACTCCATAAGCTGGATTCTTCCTGAAGCAGTGTTTATTTTTCGGTTGGTGTAAACATTTCTATTTGGCCTGGCAGTTTTTGGTCAAAAGCGCAAAACATGTTCCTTATTATTTTTTGTGCAAATTCACTTCCGCCCAGAAAACCGAAAATGAGCAACGAAAAGCAGCAGAAATTGCTCGCAACTTCTTTTCTTCTCCTGTGCTGTGCTGGCAGCACATTTTCTTTTGTGCAGTAAAAATAAATAACAGTTTATGAAAATTTGCCAAAAAGTATCAGCGGCCAAGAACGAGAACAAAGTGGAGTGGCTTTTCCTGTTTTGCCATTGTAACCGAAAAAGCTAAAGCAAAAAAAAAAAGCAGCAAAGTTAAAAAGCTGCCCATTTAAAAGGCGTTGACACTCCCCGCCAATTCGTTCTCTCACCCGCTGGAAATTTGTGCTAACGAGTTGTCGTTGTTTGCTTTCCTCAACTGAAGAGTCGGGTCTTCAATAGGCCCATGTGATGAGGCCGGGCCCAAAACCCCCCTTCTCCATCCCCCCCTCTTCCTTGTCTTTGTGCTAAATTGAACCAATTTTTTTGCTCTTCCTCTGGGTTTTTTCCTATGGTTTTTGTTTTCTACAAACATATTCTGTTTTTGTGCTGTTTTTTTTTTTATTTTTTTTATTTTTGCAGTACTTTGCACGTCAAGTGAGTGAAAACTCAGCGCTGGAGAATGCGATTTCCAAGCATGAGTGTGAATGCGAATGCGCTTTCAAAGCTCGGCTGCTGTCTATTCATGCGTGCCATACATTGGGATGGTTTTGGGTGGTTTTCCGGGTGGTGCTGGTGGTGCAGAGCCCCTCCAAGCCTACATGTATATCCACACACTTATGGAACACCAAACGGGCTTTCTAAGGATGAGCAATGATGAGCCAGGCTCATGAAATTGATATTGCTGTACTTTATTTTTATGTCCTATCTCATAATCGTTGCTTATCATGGCTAATTTTGATTTTAAGGCCAATTGTGATTATGTTATGTTATCTTTGATCGCTAACAACGTGCATTATTTTACTTTGGCAGAAGCCAAATAATTTTATTAATTGATTTCTAAGTTCTAAGCGTTCTCTTTAATACACTTAAAAAGCGTATATGCCAATTAGATTAGACGATTTTGCAATTGACAATTGTTTTTAAAATTTCCATTTCGCAGTGTAAGAAGCATTTGAGAGTGTCTTCGTCATTTGGGGCGCAATTCTTCAGTTGGTCCTTTATCACATTATATTACATTTATGGGTGAAATAAAAACCTACCGACTATTTACGATTTGAAAAGAGAAAAGAGGACCCATGGCCAACAAAAAAATAAAGGCAACGAATATGTTAATTTTAGAGATTGATTCTATATTGTGTCTTTCAGGTATTTTTATAGAATTTCTAGAACGTCATACTGCAATTTTTAATTTTGGCTCATTATTAATATGCACGTTACTCATTGTAAGGTTTCTATGACTTCGACTAATATGTTGAAGTCTTACAATATATTTAACACAAGTTGTTTTTTTTACATATTTGTATATTTGTGCAACCTTTTAAGAACGACGTTCTAAGCATTTAAATATCTTATAGGCGAGCTCACAGCTGTTGTCGTCCTCAAAATCCAAGCACTTTAACACATTAGGATCTAAGTTATTTTGGGACGGTCTGACGGTCTTGCCATTGACAATGATTTCCTCAAGTTCCAGTAAGCAATTGTAATAACACTTAAAATTCTCATCGGTGGGATTTTCAATAGTAAGCTCTTTGATCGCTTCCTTCTTTGTACTGCAATTTTTTAGGATGGGATCCTGTTGAAAATCGACACAGGTGCTAACTGAGTAATAAAATGTTTATGGGTTAGGAAAAGGCCTTATGATACTTACATGTTCAGAAAGGAATGGGGCACCAAAATCAGCGGCCAGCAGGAGAGCAAGAGCAACTAATAACTTCATTTTGAGGAATGACTCCAGTCTCTTCATTTCAGTCTGTTTTTAAATGATTTTTGGCATGCCTTTTCGCATAAATTTTTAGAATAATCGGTGTTATATGTCATTTTAGGCATTTAAACCACTTATTTGGTTTGTTAATTTTCCGATAACATTTCTTAACTTTATTGATCTTACATTTGGAATATAAGCACACCCCAAATAGTGATGGATATTGATTCATAATGGAAATGGTACCATAGCATAGTCACTATAGCATACTAAATTTATTAAAGAGACGTTTGAGGCCTGTAAATAGTTATTGCCGAGTTTACATTTGATGGGCTTGTTTATTGTCAGGCACGGCTTTATCTTTCCTCCTACATGTTCAGAAACATTTTCCGTAATTTTTAGGACGGATAAGTTAAAATCGCCGACTACGCCGTTGCTCAAAACTAAATGAACTGTATTTTCTAATTTTTCAGTGATTTATTTTATTTCATTGCCAAGCATCTACTTGAGTGTTACTCAAATATTGCTATAATTGCGTGGAAATACACTGAATAAACGCTAAAATATGTTACGCCCTACGTGGTATAATAAATTCTCTCTGTTTTTCTACTTATTTATTTAAACTTTTTAGAGCCTTAAACAAACGAATCAAGAGAAACGATTATTTTGGGTGTGGTGAAACTTATTTAATAGGCTCTTGAAGGCATGTAAATAACTTGTGGCCGAGCTCACATCTGTTTTCATCCTTTATATCCAGGCACAACTTCGCCCTTTCAGTGCCATCTAATGTTAAATTCATTGTTGAAAGATCAGAAATGACGATCTTACCATTGGCAATGATTTTGGCATTTTCCAGTAGGCAGTGTTGAAAGCATTTTAATGTAACAACGGTGCGATTTTCATTGGAAATCTCTTCAATTGCTTCCCCCCTTGTTGTGCAATTCTGAAGCACTGGGTCCTTTTGATAAAAACTGGTAAGTTTGTGGCTGAGGAAAAAGCCTTTTGCTACTTACAATTTCAAATGAGAATAGTTGACTTATAGAAACCAATAGAAGAAGTAGGGCCACTAACACATTCATTTCAAAGACTGAATCTGTTCAGTGTGTTGGAGACGGTTTTTAAAGACTGCTAGCACAACTTTACGCTTAAATTTCAAGAAATATTTTCCGTCGAATTATAATGTTCTGGTTATATTTACCGTTAAATTAATAAATACACATAACAATAATAATTTTCTGATTATAGTATTATAGAACCAATACAGTACTGGAAATAATTATACATCGTTACTTATTATGCAAATGGCTATATTAGATTCCCTAAAGCATACTCAATTTATTGAATTCACGGTTATGGGAAATTCTTATGTAAGCACTGGAATACCCTATAGCCGAGCTCACATTTGTTGGAATGCCTGATTTTCAGGCAAGGCTTAACCTTTCCTCTTATAGCTTCATAGGATTTCTCCGTAATGTTTAGGACGGCCAAATTATAATCTCCAACAACTCCATTGACGATTACTTCGAGCCTCTCCAGTTCACAGGCATAAAAGCACTTGACCCTAGTACTAGTAGGGTAATTTTTGAAATAATATGGGGTAATTCCGCCCCTTTTTGCGCAATCATTTCTTACGGGGTTCTATTGGAATTACAAACAAATTGTAATAGTGTTAACTATGGATAATTTGTGAGTTCGAAAAATACTGATACTTACGATTACAAAAGAGAACAGGGGACCGACGGTCATCAAGAGAACCAAAGCAGATAATGACTTCATCTTGGAGTTTGATATTGATCAGAGTGTTACTGATCGCTTTTATACTTTTTTTTTGCAAAACTTTTCGCATTAGTTCCGAAGATTAACTGTTTTACAATTTCGTGTTGCAAATTAAATATTTTACACTTCTTTATTTTGGATTAGATATTTAAATTCTCATTCTTTTACTTGTATTTTTGAATTTTGTTTATTTGTCACACCAACCAAGGAAAAATAAATTAGAAATATTTATGAATTGTGTTTAAATTCTTTGAATTCAATTTTATTAAATGCATAAAATATTAAATTAAAATGGTACGGAAAGTGCCCAAATCAGATGATCTTTTGTCGCCGTGTACCGCATAGTCTTTTTATGTGCAGTTTACCATACCGTATATCTCATAGCCAGCACGAGCTCATCGCACTTGGCCTGGCGAATGCGGCAGCTCGGAGCAGCAGAGCAACAGAGCAACATGTTTGGAAGTGGGTGTGCGTAAGGTGTCAGTGGCACCTACCACGACGACGTCTGGTACAAGTTGATACTCCTACATTACCGCCAAGTCCCCGCCCCCTTGCCAACCAGTCTTGGCCAAAAGAGGAGGGAGCTGCAGCTGGGAATTGGTATTGGGATGGGGATGTGGATGTGGATGTGGATGTGGATGTGGATACAGATTCAGATGCAGATGGAGCTGAAGCTGAAGCTGCAGTGTCTGGGCCTGCTGGCTGTTTTCTGTTTTCCGCAGGGGGTGGTGGCGAATGCTGCGGGTGCTGGGTTTCCATTGCATTTTCGGTCATTATTCAACGTCATTGCAGTTTGCTGCTGCGGTGGCAGCTTCAATGATGCATAATTTGTAGCGTTATATAAATGCAAACTGTGTTGATATTTTTTATGCTAATTGCATGCCAGTAAGACTTACATACACACACACACACATATATATAGCTCTCTGTAATTACATGAGCCCGGGTGAAAAAAGAAAGTTGACAGTTAGGTGGCGTCAACGGCAGCGGCAGGTACCCCAACAAACAAGTTGCAACTGCAACATCAACAGCAGCAACAGCAACAGCAACAGCCACAGCAATTGTTGTCGCTCCTTATGACGCGACAGTAACGAGCAAACAAATGTACAAACATACATATGTAGTGTGTGTTTGCAAAATATAACTGTACAGTTAGGTGGTTGTATCTGATATATGCAATTATGCATGACGCGTTCTCTCAGATCGCAAAAAGATACAGTCGCCGCGGGCAAATCTAAAACAAAAAAATATTGGGTTAAAGATATGTAACGTGCGAAGTTGGCAAACTAAAGGTTTTCTTTTTTCAAAACACTTTGGATATAACAGGTCTTTGAGAGCGACTGTTATGCTAATGAAACCTAGATCTAATAAAAAGTTTTTATTTAGAATGTAAAGATACATACAGAGTATCTAGTATAAAGAGTATCTAGTATATAGAGTATTTAGTATAAAGAGTATCTATTGTATGGAGTATCTAGTATATAGAGTATCTAGTATAAAGAGTTCCTAGTGTATAGAGTATCCAGTAGAGTATCAATTGCATCTTAGGCTTGCTCCAGGCCCAGTAACGTGATCCACTTACTTAATTAATGTTATATTATGGATTGGACCCAAAGCAACTCAACCCGGTCATAAATTCTCGCCTTCAAATCTCGCTGTATCCGTATCGTTAAGAACGACAGAAGCGATTTATGAGGACGACTAAATAATTGGCAAATAACGCCGCCTGGTAATTAATAAAGTTTAGCTTAAGTTGATGGCTAGTGCCATAAAAGCACTGCCATAAAACGCTCTCCGAATTTCACGAAAGCATAAAAATTCAACATGAAGCGCTTTCGCCGCTTTATCAAAGCCGATTGGCAATCCTCGATGAGCAATTGAATATGCGATTTCTATGGTCATTAATCTCGTGCACCGATACGCTGCCTGCTAAACAGTTCCCAACTCGATTTCCAATAGCTGAAGCCAATTTGACTATGCAAATAGCTCGAGTTGAACGCTCTGTGTTTTCTGACTTGCTTTTCAAGTGCTGCCAATTAACAAGCCCTAGACATCGTGTGTGTATATGTGTGTGTGTATGTTTGCGAATCGATATTTACTCAATTAATTTATAACTTCCGCCAGCAGAGAGAGAGATAGCAGGAGGCAAAGCGACAGCGATTTTTCATTCATAAAAAAAGGCAAACGAAACTGATGAAGCTCCGATGATGTCGCTGGCTGTCAGCGGGTTTTTCAAGCCAACTTGCCCGCTCTCTTCGGCACAGGAAGCAATCATCGTGCTACAAGTCATATTAACTTACGCTGGGCGCACAAAAAAAAAAAAAATAAAATAAGTGTAGGTATATGTGTTGTACTGTATGGCCATCTGGAAAAAAGACGTACCCAGGAATCACGGCAAAAACAGAAGCAGCAGCTGGGAGCCGAGAGTTGGGAACTTGGGAAGATGGCAAGATGGAAAGATGGGGCTGGATCCGATCTGGCCAGCATATGTTGTCCGGCAACTTTGCGCATGCGAAAGTTGCACTCGAAACTATCAATGAAGGAGGACCCAAACCGGACTTCTTCCCCTTCCTCCTGCAAAAAAAAAACCCCTCCATGGAGGGGCTACCAGTCGAAATGCGAGCAGGTGCACCACTTACCCACACTGGCAAACATTTCATAATGATGGATGGCCAACACAAACACACTGGCGCGCCTAAGCCGGTTTTTGAAATAGCGTCAGTTGTTTGTATCTTTTTTTTCGGTTTGTTTTTTGTTTTTTTTTTGTGTTGCCTCAATTAAACTGCCAGGGACGTGGTCGAAAACCCACAAAAGTGTACGGTAACTTTTGGCCCAAAAAGAGGGGGAAAAAAAACGAAGAGAGATACTCGTGAAAACTGAATTAATAACCAGGCGCGTCAATGTGAGAATTATATCAATTTTCAACTGCAGATGCCAGGAATGTAAAGTTAATATTTAGCACTAACGAACTTTTCATGGAGTCTCCAAATAAAATGATTGATGGTTTGGCTGAGGGAGTTAATAGAATGACAATAACCGGAAAGCCGTATGAGTGATGAGGGTGTGAGAGTTTCAAATTGCTAGGGACGACGAAGTTTTCGGAAACTGATGTTTTTGTATAGATAACATGGATAAACACGAAAGAAGGAGCATTGTAATTGAATTAAAGACATACCCCTTCACCCTTCTGTTACTATGTGCATAAAAAAGGCTTCATTTCAATTTAGAAGTTTTCTTTTTTTAAGTAATCAATTTGTCCCCATTTACAGAGACAGAAACTCGAAGATCTTTCGATTGGTATTACCCATAGCTGGCGGCATTTTTGATTCGATTTGTGGCGGCTCCAAGGCGGTGTTAATTTTGACAAATGAACATTTTGGTTGCTGGGCATGTAGAGCATGGGGCACAATGTGCCAGCTTATCTATAATTTACATGTTCTGACTAAACTGGGACTCCACACAAGGCACCATGTTGCGTTGTCTCTGCTTAATTACGGCCCATCGAGCTTGGCCTTTTGTGCTGCCTTTTGTCTTGGCCTCAAACTAATCAGCTCGCAGCCATTAATCTGGCCACAGTGTCTAGTTTCGATGCAGCGGTATCTCGATTATCTAACTTTCAACTGAGAAGTTGTAGCCGAGCGAACGTTATGGCCGAACAGTTTCCAAAACACCGCCGCCAGATAACTTGAATTTCTGGCTCTTGGGTGACGGTTGTCGCTCGACTGGCTTTGTAGTTCTTTTTCGGATGTTTTTTTTCTCTGTTATTTAGCGTCCACACTCAACCCAATTATGAGCCAAAAGTGCAAAATAAAAATGGTTTTTATGTCCACCCATTAAAATTTGTGTTGGCTCTCAAATGGGATACGTTGACAATTGCAGCGATGTTTGAGCTTGGCGTTGGCCCGCATCTGTTCACACGCTGCCTACATAAATCTCGAAAAGTTAATGAACGCATCCTTGAAAAAAACAAAAAAACAACAAATATATTCATACACAAATGTATGGGTAATACCGACATTTTGCCCGGCAATCAGCCGTCCATTAAGTTTTATAAAAACAAATGGATGAACGCACAAAGCAAAGTTTTGAGCTGCATACATAAATAAAATTAAGCAAAAACTAACAAAAACAAAAAGAAAAGTTAAAGCCTGGCCCAAAGTGTGCGGGTTCCAAAACAAATAGTACAAAATTTACGATCGCTTATATATTGTATTGATTATATTTGCAAAAAGTTAAAGTAGAGGACTCTGTGTTTATCTATAAAAATACGCTCAAACGAAACATTTAAATATGCTCTACAGATACTGCAATTCCGATGGATGAGTTCTGGTTTTGGGATTTAATTTGCATAGTTATGAATGGTTCTATGGGTTTTCGTTCAAAAATAACATTGAATTTTTAGTAAATCAAAACTGCTTTGACTAAACTGAGTTTTTGTTTCTAATAGGGACTTTTTAGATTAAATTTTATTCTTACAGAGTTTAATAACTTATCGTTTGAATAACGTTTTTATAAACTATTATAAGCCATAAATTCTAAGACTATTTTTAAACTAAACTATTTTTTCTGAGAAATAATGTCAAGATCTTTAAAGGGGGACTTGCTAATTTATAATTCGCATTTGCATAAGTATGAACTGTTTTATGGGTTTCCGTTCAAATATCACATTGAAATTTTAATGAGAATTGTTATTTACTAGTTTCATAAGAGATCCAGACTTGGCTTAACTAATTTTGTCTCACAAACAAAGTTCAGAGCCTCAATAAAAACGGCAAAAATATGTTGTTTGACCTTTCGGCGAGACAGGCCCGACAAACCAAGTCAGCCAATGTACCGCTCGGGGCCCAGACATTATAATTATGCAGCTGCCACATACACACAAGAAGTGCAATCGACTCCGTCGTCTTGGCATTTTAACATTGAGCCAAGCATTTGAGCCAAGCGGCGACAAGTGCAGCCGTCGTCGATCGACGTCGTAGTTGCAGTTGTTGGCCAATTCAGTGCGGCATTAAACTAAGCCGTTTCAAACCAAGAA